CCCGGCTTTTTTTTTTTTTTCATTAGCCAGATGTGGTGTCACGTGCCTGTGGTTCAGCTACTTAGAGGGCTGACGTGGAAGGATCATCTGAGCCCAGCCACAGTGAGACTCCAACGCAAAAAAAAAGAAAAAAGGGGCAAACCATGCAGTCATATGGAGGGAGTGTCCTGGGCAGAGGGAATAGCAAGTGCAAAGGCCCTGAGGCAGGAATGTGCCTGTCTGAAGAACTGCAAGGAGGTGTGAGTGGCAGAGAATGGACAGAGCAGCAGAGAGAAAGAGCAGTGGTTGAGGGTGGGGACCTGCAAATCAAAGATCTGGTCTTAGGGTTGAGCATGGTGGCTCCCAGCGCTTTGGGAGGCCAAGGTGGGAGGATTGCTTGAGCCCAGCAGTTCGAGACCAGCCTGGGCAACATAGCAAGACCTCCTCTCTACAAAAATAAAAAAAAAATTAGCTGGGCATGGTGGTGTGTGCCTGTGGTTCCAGTTTCTCCAGAGACTGAGCGGGAAAGATCGCATGAGCCCTGGAGGCAGAGGCTGCCATGAGCCATGATTGTGCCACCGTACTCCAGACTGGGTGACAGAATGAGACCCTGATCAAAACAAAAGATCTGGGGTTTTGACTCAGAACAGGAGGTGACTGGCACGTGATGGTGGATGCAGATTATGAGAGAAAGCGTCTGTCTCTGGAGGCAGAACATTGGTGCATGAGCTGAGACCTTGTCTGCCTGACTCAGAGTGGGTGTTCATAATGCTCAGTGGATTCCAGAAAGTACCTGGTACCAGGTACTGTGCTAACGGCGAGTGACAGCCAGCCCAGATTGGTTGCAAACTTGGCTTCTGGGGGTCAGTCCGCTTTCAGAAGAATTTATGCTCTACCCATTACTGCTGTGTGGATAAAGAAAACTTCCCTCCTAAAGGTAAATGGTTTGGCACAGAAGCTGCCTGGCACAAGGTAAACAGATGTTTAATTTAAAAAAATTTTTTTTTGGTTGGAGTCTCACTCTGTCACCCAGGCTGGAGTGCAGTGGCACACTCACGGCCACTGCAGCCTCGATCTGTTGGACTCAGGTGATCCTTTGCCTCAGGCTTCCAAGTAGCAGGAAATACAGGAGTGCACCACCACGCCTGGCTGATTTTTTGATTTATTGTAGAGACAAGGTCTCGCCAAATTGCCCAGGCTGGTCTCAAACCTCGGGGTTCAGGCAATTCTGTCGTCTCTGCCTTCCAAAGTGCTGGGTTTACAGGCGTGAGCCACTGTACCTGGCCTAAATGCTAGTTTTTAAATTTATTTTATTTTATTCTGAGTCGGGGTCTCTGTCACCTAGGCTGGAGTACAGTGGTGTGACCACAGCTCACCGCAGCCTTGACCTCCTGGGCTCAGGCGATCCTTCCACCTCAGTCTCCCAAGTAGCAGGAACTACAGACACACCATCATGCCTGGCTAATTTCTTTTCTTTTTTTTTTTTTGTAGAGACAAGGTCTCATTCTGTTGCCCAGGCTGATCTTGAACTCCTGCGCTCAAGCAATCCTCCCGCCTTGGCTTCCCAAAGAATTGAGATTACAGATGTGAGCAACCATGCTCAGCCTCGTTTTGTTTTTTGTTTTTTTTTTTTGAGTTGGGGGTCTCACTCTGTTGCCCAGGCCGAAGTGCAGTGTCACTCTCATGACCACCGTAGCTTCAACCTGCTGGGCTCAGGTCCTTCCACCTCAGCCTTCCAAGTAGCTGGAACTACAGCCACAAGCCACCATGCCTAGCTCATTTTTTGATGTAGAGATGAGCTCACGCCATGTAGCTCAGGCTGGTCTCGAACCTGTGGGCTCAGGCAGTCTCCTCCCTTCGGCATCCCAAAGTGCTGAGATTACAGGCTCAAGCCACCACGCCCGACCAGCCTAGTTTCTATTATCAGTCAAACACCACTTCAGTATTCATGCAAGTGGCAATAGGATCCCCATGTCATGTGAGGCGACTGAGCTTGAAAAAAAGTACAGTTTCTTGCCCAAGGACACTAGGCTCGGATGCTGCGTAGAAACAGCACGAGACCTTCCAGACCCTGAAGACACAGCAGCTCTTTTTACCACTGTGCCAAAGTCCTCCAGACACTCCTGCATTCTCTCCTGTTTGATGGTTAGGATGTGGGGATGGCAGCTTCTACAGGGACCCGAAGACAGAGATTTCACAAGCGAAGTGAAGTCCTAAGCCGGTGGGAGCCCAGAGTGCATGAGTGCATATTCCCTGTGTGGTCATCCGGGGACTCAGGCTCCTTCCACCATGGCTCTGTATCCCTCCAGGGTATTGTCCCGGGACCTACAGGGAGGCCACCCCCTCAGGTTCTCAGGAAGGGCAAGTGCAGAGCACACAGCTTCATTTTAAGGACCTGGCCTGAAAGCAGCTTACACCCCTTCTGCTCAGCCTGTCAGCCGGGACAGATGGTCTTATCTAGCTGCAAGGGAGGCTGGGAAAATGCCATTTCTAGCTGGGCAGTCGTGCCTGGGTAAAACCTGGAGACTTCCATTACTGAAAGAAAGAACAGGAGGCTGGGCATGGTGGCTCATGCCTATAATCCCAGCACTTTGGGAGACTGAGTCCACGGGTTCAAGACCAGCCTGGACAACTTGGCAAGACCTCATCTCCATAATAAGTCAAAAAAGCCG